GGAGCTGTTCGCGTAGAAAGTGTGACCAATCTGGAAGAAGGGGGGGGGGGCATCAGCCCACTATCAAGTCGCAGCAGCGAATTCTCCAGCCAGCTAGGGCAAGCGACGGAGGACGGCTGAAGCCTGACCGGATCGAGGACCGGATGGCCATCGCATTGCAAACAGAGTCAGAGTCTCTCTCTCTCTCTCTCTCTCTCTCTCTCTCTCTCTCTCTCTTTCTCTCTCTCTCTGCCACTCTGTCCAAACTCTGTGATTAAGACTGGCCTCTATTTGCTCAACCAAGACCATCACCCTCAGGCCGGCCCCAGCCCGGCCAGCCCCGCCCTGCCAGGCATGACGCAGATTTGGTCGCCAAACGCGGCACAATCGATGGCCCTGCTGTCCTCGCAGGCCTTTGGCCGTGCCGACGTTTCAGTTGACTTTACGCCTGTCGTGACTGTGGACATTCAGAGAAACTCAATTTCAAATCAACACATATTGCCGTTGCCAGCGATTCACATTAGCGAAACTACGACCTTTCTATAGCTGATATACCGTGTCAGGGCGACGACACAGCAGTATTGGGGCCGGGATTGCCTACTCGCCCCAGCTAGAAATGAAAATTGTATCGACGACGATGCGGTGCCGATTCGACCTCGATACCTCTATTTGGGTAACAAAAGTGCGTTTTTCGAACCACGTCGACGTCGATTCGACGTCGGCAATAACTCCTTTTTCATTTTCCCGAAATACTCGATTCCCGATTCCCGTCCGCTTATATTCATTTCTTACAGGGTTTCTAGTGGTAGAAAATTCTTCTTTCGACTTATTTGTACCAGTTCCTTCACTGTGAAAAATATCGTCGTAAATTTACAAAAATTTTGTAAACTTGAATTATAATTCAAGTTGTAAGTCTACGACAGCACATTTTTTACTCGCCAAGGGATTTAAAGTCGATACATACTGCATGTATTTTTACGATTACAAATTGTAATTTTACAACTTGCGTCATGGAAAATTTTCCTGTAAACCTACCTACTTTTTTTCACAGTGTTTAGTTGCCAGCTTAAATTAAGCAATTTCTATTGATTGTGATTAATTTTTATCCTGATGATTCCCAGGCAGGTGTACACATGACATGATTCCCGGAGTTCTTGCCCCCTCGCCTTGATCGAATTCCATTTCTGGCTGGGCGCAGGGCGCCGTGTGGCCCCTAGGTTCGGCAAACCCATCTGCTGTGTCGTAGCCCTGGGCATGCCCGGCTACGTATCCGAGTTATGGGGAGGCCCAGTTCGCTATCAACAAGCAGTCAAAAGTCCTAACGGAAGCTAAAAAAAACTGCGCACATGATGTGCTATATTTCTCCTCTTCTGGAATACTCAACGTCCCAAATTTTTATCTTTGCTTGGGTCTGCAATTTCTTTTGCGATTTCAGTGTGTGCTATATTATATTCGCTTTAATCATTTCTTTTTTCGTCTATATCGCGAGCCCCTATAGTTGGTTCACGAAATTCTGACACACCGGCACGCAAAGGACTTGGAGACAATCACTCCCTCCTTCTTTGTTGACGTCGTAAGCAGTATGGTCACACTCATTATAAGGGTCGGATCGCTAGGCTAGAGCTGCCAAGCCGTACTTCGCACTCCCCCGCAGGTAGTGGGCCCCCATAAAAGAGACGCGAAGATGTTTGGCAGCCGTATCACTGGGGCCGGCGAGGGCCGGGGACCCTCCGGCAGCAGGCCTTCACGCATCGTAATGACGCTTACAATGAGACCTCGGGTCCAAAGGCCTGCCGGTGTGTCAGAATTTCGTGAACCAACTATACCTGGTCCCTGGTCCAGACGTTTCTCCTGCTGCTTCAGCACAATGAGGGACGGAGCCCGCTGTGCACACAATGGGATGGAATGCGTTTACTGTCATAATTACCGAACACCACCTTGGGGTCCCGCCCCTCCTCGAAGTCCCGCCCCACCACGCCGTGGCACGCCATTTGAATAAGATCCATACCCGAGTCCGTAGCCCGGAGTCGGATTACCTATCCCACCCCGCCACGCCACGCCACGCCCCGCCACGCCCCGCCACGCCCCGCCACGCCCCGCCACGCCCGGAGCCCCCAGGGCACATGTCACCCTGTTGTACTCCCGGCGCGCCCAGCTCTGTTTCTCCAAGGCTCCGGCTCCTCCCCTTGACCCAGTGTGTGCGTGTGCGCGCGCGCGCGAGTGCGTTATGGTTATGCGTCCCGCTCCGCCCACGCCCCGCCGCGCCCCGAGGCACATCGATAGGTCGGCTCGAATCGAAAATCGCACCCAGCAGTTCCAGCACGTCCTCTCCATGAAATATAGGATGCCGGCGCGGCCGGCCCAGCCTCACTCCGGAGGGCCCTCGATGTGAAGAGCGGCGGCCGACGCGGGCCGACCAGAGGTCAACGCACTGGCGAGGTGTTTGGGCACGATGTGGAGGACCTCCGGCAGTTCAGGTCAGGGTTGATATGTCGAATACGTGCGCCGCTTCTGAGGAGGGTGCCTGAGACCTGAGGTGTCAACTGGGGGGTATGCGGTCTTTGCGATGTCTTCCGATGAGAGTCTCTTCTATCCCAAGCAGGGTCTGGAAAGCAAATTATTCGACTGGCAGTTGAACACTGACAAGTGTTGGACGGTTGCACACTTTATGATTTGTCACTCACTGTACCCCTTGTATCTTTGAATGCGCTCCAACGTTGCGGGTTTGCTTCTCTCTTCGTCGGTAAGGCGCTATGGCCCCTGGCGAGTATGCAACTCCGCATATTGGAGTGTATTCAAAGACATATAGTTTGCAATGGAAATCGAGCGCTCCGATGTCGTCTGTCTGTTAACGAGTTTCTTTTGGTTGTCTGTCGCAGACCTGCAGTTTCCGGTGGATGTCGCTGCCGTGGCCAAGGACCACCCGTTCCTGGAACAGGACTCGCTGCAGTCGCTCTTCAGGCGCTTGCACGCGCTCAACAGAACTGCAAACATGAAGGTCGATATGCAGGGCCAGGTGAGTGATTTTCCATGCATTAGAAATCGGGGGAGGGGGGGGCGTGTCTGTCTCGGAGCCGCAGGCTCTATCCTCTACTTTTTCAAATAAACGCCCTTGCTGTTAATGCACTGGTACACACGGCTTTTTGGTTGACTTTTTTTGTCCCTTCGCCTGCGCATGGGCCTGAGAGGTTCGTATTTTTGCATGAGAGAGGGGCCGCTCTTTTGCGTCTGGCAGATCTTTGCTTCTGGTCAGACACGACCAGACAGAGTTCACCAGTGGTGGTTCCCCCCCCCCCCCTCGTGTTTTAGCGACAACAGTCGCTGTTAAAGGGTTGCAAGAACTCGCAAAAACTGTACGCTCCATAAAAACATTGAAATGCATAGAAAAGATCGCAGAACTGTAATTTGAAACCTTGCCGCTCCGTGCAAGACCCACAAACACAAGTATTATGGCAGTCGGCAAGTGTAGAGCAATGTGCTTACTCTGGCTACTGCAGGCAAAAAAAATATTGCACCCTAGCTACTTTTTTAGCACTGGTGCAAAAAATTCGTCAGCATTGGCCCAGCTAATTTGTTTAGCTTCATAGTGCCAAACTTTTCGTTGTACAGAAAACTGAAACAATGCACTAGCTGCTTCGCCAATACTATTTAGCAGTACAGCTAAATATTTTATCCTATAGCTAATTTTTTTGGCAGGGATGCCAAATTTGCCTGCTAAATCGATTAGCACGGAACTGATTTTTATTTTTTAGCTACCTACCTACCTATTGCACGTGGAGACTGTTAAATTGATATGGACCGTGGCCTTACTTTACCGCAACGAGAAGCAGACCACGAGGGCGAGGAGCACAAGCATGACCTGACTTTGGTCGACTTCGGCTACTCACGTACAACGCTACGTCTCGGAAGGTCTCGGATCCGTCCGGCCCCCGTTGTCCTTCTCTCCTGACTCGCTGTCTCTCTCACGCCTGCAACGCTAACCGTATCTAGGCCACTGCCACTACACGCTCTCTGTCTGCTGCCCCAGCTCTCATTCGCGGTATTGCCCTGGAGCGCGTCTTTTTAAAAAGTTTTTTCTCCTTGCTGGTACGGTGTATACTTAAAATGGGTCGGGGTTTATTAATGTTTGTATAGTTGCTAAACGTGGCAGCCCTTGTAAAATTCAAAAAAAATATCATACAGTTAATTGAAGTCAGAGTGTCATAGGTGGCTAATTCATGACGCGCACTTTCGTAGTTATGCTTCACCGCATGCGCCGCATGCAGGTGCGGGTGGGTTTGCCTATCTCGCAGCACACGGCTCCCTCCGGACCCGTGCGAGTAGGCAACCCGTCCGCACGCGTGCATGCGGTACAGTACTACGAAAGTGCGCGACGCGAATCAGCCATCTGGTATGTTGTGGTTTGTGTCGTGAAGTAGGGTACTGTACTAAAGGCTATACAAAACGAAGGGGAGATCATATCCTGTAATACTTCGCATGCCCGCACTCGAAATAACTGCGAATACGCGCGAAAAAGGATGATAAAATCCCTCGGAAATAATGCAAAATACCGCGAACACCCCGAAATAATCCGAAATAGGCGCAAAATAACCGAAATGGCAGAGACATACTACAAAATAACTTGTACGCTGTGTTCCCGAGTGATTTTTCCCCCTCGATAGAAAAACAGAAACATACAGTTTTTCTTTTGATTTACTCCCATTCTAAATAGTCGCCAATACCCTCGTGCAGTGAAACGAGGGGGATGTGCGCTCGATTTCACTTTTAATGACACGCACGCGTACATGCGCAAGCTATCGGCCATTGTGAAGGTAGGCCATGGCGGGCAGGCGGAGGGAAGTCCCACGCAGAATATCCAATCGCATGCGCGAGGCGGGGAATGAACTCATCGGGCCGCGCGGAGCTGAGCCATTTGAATAGAATGACGTGTTTCCAGGTCAACCGGATTCACCCGCGTGCGCTGCCGCGAACACGACACGACTCCCTGGGACTGACTGGTGCAAGAGAGACAGTATCATGCATACGCTACCGTTTAAAGGAGCTATCGTGCGACTATGAAAGAGTAAAAGGGGCGGGGAGGGGGGTGGGGGAAGGGGCGCTAATCCTGCCTGCTTCCTCGCCTATCCCTCTCGCACGGGCGCTGGACTCGCGTGTGCTGGGCGCCGCCGTTCCCCCTCGCACGACGCACAAACTGCGTCCATCGCCCCGTGACTGCACAATGGTTCCGCGCCGTCGCTGTGTTGTGTCGCCCGATGACGGACAGCAGGCGCGCGGGCGCGGCGCGGGCGCAGGGCGAAGGTTTCCGGTAGCGTCAGCGCCGCGGGGCCCCGCGCCGGGCTCTCACCTGCTGGTGCAGCGGCGGGCGGAGGTGGAGGTGGGCGCCGCAGCACGGCGCGGTGGCCGCGCTGAATCACCAAGCCCGGCCCGGCGACGCCCGGCGCCCCACGCGACAGCGCGACACGTAACACCCGCGGCTGACTGACTGAATGAATGCGCTGAATCGAGCAAGAGGAGGCGAGGCGGGGCGGGGCGCCGAGCTGGCGCCACCGTGCTCCTGGGAAGGGTGCGCCAGGGTGTGGCCACGGCCCAGGGGCGTAACCAGGAGGAAGTCTTGGCAGCCCGGGCCAAAATTTCACTTTCGAAAGAAATCTTTAGTTCAACGCACTATCGCGTGCGTCTTAGTTTCTTGCTTGCTTGCAATTGGCGGCCTGTGAAGAGGGGGGGGGGGGCAGATTGCATGGCATAAGGGCGCGACATGGCAAAAGTTGCAAAGACAAGATACCCCCAGCGCTAAGTAATGTTGTTGTTTGCTGGGTCAAGCGCTTCGTTCTACACGTCTAGTGTAGGCGTTTCATACTAAAAAGTATTGCATGACCTTGCCCGAAAAGACATCCTGTTTACGCCCCCTGTGCCATAGGTGCACCCGAGGGAGGTTCGGCAGCCGTTGCATTGTGTAAGGTTACCGCATCCCGTGTAGGGGGCAATGCGGCGCCGCAAGGGGCGCCGGGGGGTCGCATAACTGGGGCCTGCGCGAACCTGCGGCGCCTGCACCCTGCGCCATATCGGGCAGCGAGATCACAAAAAACAAAAATTGCACTGTCTTTCGGGCACCCCCCACCCCCTCCCTCCTTGCTCTTCTGGCCGTAGTTTCTTCTGAGCTTGAGTCCCCAAAAAGAAGCTGTCGCCGATGCGCTGGCGCGGCGAGCTGGACCCGCCGTTACGTAAGGAGCACCGGCGGGGCCGTCTCCGAATTGGTCCCCGCCCCGCCCTCCGCTGCAATGCACCCGGCGTGCACGCTGCGTACGCAACCCCGCGGGGCGTGCTGCCAGTGCCGCTGATGACGGCCCGTGATGTCTCTATTCTCCCGCCGACCCTTTAGCGCCTGCCCTCCCCGCCCCGCCCCGCCCCGCTGCACTCGCGCCGCTCCGTGCGGCTATCAAGGCGCGGAGGCCATGTAACGCATGAGCGCCGCCCTGCGGGTACACTGTTAACCATCACCCTGAGCGGAGTCGATGTGGCGCTCATTAAGGTGGCGCGGTTCCTGTCACTTTTTGTTGTGATTTTATTACTTTTATTAACGCGACTTGTGGGGTTTTCTGTTGCAGGGCGACGACTCGGACGAGGACGACCAGTGCGCTCTGAGCGAGAACTGGACGTTCCAGCCCGAGTCGCGGCGCTGGTCCCGGGTGTGCGACGTGAGCGCGGAGCACGCCGAGCGGCTGCAGGCCCTGTCGGTCCAGGCCGTGCAACAGCAGCAGGACGGCCGGGACGCGGACGGCGGCAGCGACGGCGGCGCACCGGAGACGCCACCGCAGGTAGGCCTCGTGTGTGTGGCCACAGGCAGCACTCCTTCCTGGGGCCCTACTAACCCGAGTGCCCTGATACCCCGCAGGTGCAGAAGGTGCCGAAGCCGACGCAGCAGCTGCTGCAGGTGCCCGGCGCGCACCCCGAACCGCCGCCATCCCCCGGAAGCTCCTCGCGCGTCGGCACCCTGGAGCCACTGGCCGTGGAGCCCGTCGAGGGCGGCGACGGCGACGTGGTGATCTCGGCCGTCCGCTTTGGCAGCTTGCCCCTGGCGGGCATCGGTGGCCACGGCCTGCCCACCGAGTCGGACCTGCTGGCCGTCCGCTTCCGCCGCTCCGGCTCCGAGAGGCTCCGGGACGGCGCCAAGGCGCTGCTGCGGCGCATGGAGTCGCTCAAGACGCGGCGGCGCAAGCGGCAGCACCGCGAGGGGGTCGTCATCGGCAGCCCGCAGGTCCTGGACGTGGCCACCATGCAGCAGCGCATGCGCGACCTCAACTGCGTCGACGTGTCCCCGACCGAACAGACGTCGCCGTCGCCGTTCCCTCCGCCGTCGTCGCCGGGGGGCAGGGGGACGCCGTCGCCGTCCCCTGACCACGGCAGCGCCACTAGCGGCAGCGGTGGATCACAGGTGAGAGCTTTGGAGGCTGTCCGATAGGTGGCGTGTGCGCCTCCGGCGGGTGCTCCTTTTGCGCGGTATGGCACCGCTACGCCAACGCTATTACAAGGTAGCCATTTCTTCTTTTTAGTTACCTTTGCGCAGTGGCGATATCATAACCAATGAGGTCTATCCGAGGTGTGATTATTGCTAGTTGAAAACTTTACCAATACCCCGCCTGGAGGACTTGCAATATAGTCCGCCAAGGCAATTTTTGGAAGCCTCTACGGAGGCTCATAAGCTAATCCACACCTATACGCCTCTTTGCGATACCGTTAGTTGCTGAAGGGCTGTAGCCTGCCATGCTCGGCCTTGACCGCGTCTTTAATTGCGTAAATCTAATCGCTCTTCTCCTTCGCAGGGGTCGCTGACGCGGCCTTCTCGCTTTACTCGCGCTACCCGCCGGCTGCTCAGCCGCGACAACACCGATCCCGGTACCGCGTCGCTGTCCGACTCGGAGTGCCAGCCGACGGCGGCGGCCAGCTGGCGACAATGCTACCTCAAGGATGCAAACAGCAACAACACCAAGGTGCTGGACGTGCTGGTGGCCGGGACTGCCGGAGCCGCCTGCACCACGGCGACGGCTCCAGATGCGGGGGCCGCCGAGGAGGCCACCACCAGGAAGAGGACGGCGAGTGAGCGCGGCAGCCAGAGCCTCCTCGGCTCGCGGCCGCAAGGATCTCACACCAGGACTGCCAGCTTGAGGGACAGGGAGGGCCAGCGCTACAAGGTGCAGCCGGGCTTCCGAAGAGGTGCGTACAAACAGTTTGGAGAGTCGCTTGAATAAGGAAAGAAACACGTAAATATCCAAACATGTCAAACATTCTTTAATATTCCAATATTCCAGTAATAATGAAACTATTAGCTCTGCACTCATTGTACTTGAGAATTTTGTTAACTTGCTCTTCTGGTCGGCAGGAATCTCGGTGGAGAGCGGACACACGGTTCACCCGACGCCCCCCTCTTCCCTCGTGCCCCCATCCCCAGCAAGGACCAGCATCGTCCCCAGCACCCCTCTCGGTTCCGCGCCTCTCCTGGACGAGGTCATGAGAGTCAGCACTTACGACAACGTCCCTCCAGCCTCGTCGTCTTCTCCAGGATGCTCGCCCACGTCCCCAAGCCATGCAGCACAGGCTCAGCAGGCCCTGCAGCACACCAACCTGCACGCTCACAGCCGGCTCTCGTACAGCGCTTGCCCCACCCCGGACCGTTCTCCTCAAGGTATAGTGATGATCAAGTCAATGAGATTGTGGTGGTTGTCACATTCTGATTAATTTTATATGGTAAAAGGCAAATTTTTGTCAAATTTTTGTTATGTTGCTACTTACAGATATTTGGATGGCCACCTCAGAACTGTCAGCTAGTCATGATTCCAATAGCACTTTGGCGTCTCAACCAGACAGCGAGAGGGAAGACAGTGAGGGTAATACGACAAAACACAGGTAACAACAATCAACAACTCCTTCATGATTTTCAAGGCTATGTAACTTATCTCAACGCAAACAAATGTTTCTTACTTATCATCACAGAACACATAGTCAAGAAAAAGTTGAAGTTATTAATTTTTTTAAATTTTTCAGAGATTGTGGACAGACAGTTTTCAAATTAATGACTTATTTCTGGAGGGCCTCAATAAAAGTTACCCTTCCTTGAACTCAATAAAAGTTACTTATAGTTATAACTTAAACTGCTAAAATAATATTAAAGCTACATAAGTGATACGTTACAGAGCCCTCCTGATTTTGCTTTCCTTATTTTCTGAAATTTCTGCCTTACTGATGGTATTGCTTTGGTCTTTTAGAGGTACTGTGGTTCGTTGGCATAGCTTTCAACGAGGTTCGTCTGGAAGACCAGACTCTTTGGGTCCTATTGGTCCTTCCCCTGGCCGAGTTTCAGTCAGTGCTCTATCATGTGGCCAGCTCTTGGTACTTAGGAAGTTAGCTCTTCTAAGGCTTACAGCTTGCATGGAAAGGTACTGCCCTACCCATCGTACTGGCTGGAATTGGGAACTACCAAAGTTCATCCGTAAAATCAAAGCACCAGATTACAAAGGTGAGTTTTTGAATGAGGTATCTAATTGGGAAGAAGATTAGGCAGAACATGTCAGAACATCACTAGGCTTCAATTGTTTTTCGGAAATTGTCTGCTTTTTAATTGTTTTTGCTGACAATTCAGGAGATGTACGTCTCCTGACGATTTCTGAAAAACAATTGAAGGCTTGTGATGTTGGCATGTTCTTCCTGATCTTTATTCCAATAAATAAAATACCTCTTTGATGTATATAAATGGCTATACAACCTTTTTTTTACCTTTCTATCTTATAGTGTCCCCCTATTTTTCAGATAAAACTGTTTTTGGTGTACCACTTCTCCTATCACTGCAAAGATGTGGACAAGCCTTGCCACCAGCAATCCAAAAAGCTTTAAGATGGCTCAGAGCAAATGCTCTTGATCAAGTAGGACTGTTCCGCAAGTCGGGAGTTAGATCAAGAATTCAACGCTTGAAGACTGCTGTAGAAACCCAGGGAGAAGCTGTTTTGTATGATGGCCAACAAGCATATGATGTTGCTGACATGGTCAAGCAATTTTTCCGTGAACTTCCTGAAGCTCTTCTCACTAACAAATTGTCTGAAACCTTCATTTCTATTTTTCAACGTAAGTTTAATTTGCTATCTTCTGTTCATAATGCCACAAACTTATATTATTTGCACCCTACAAGATCCTTTACTGGTATGTTTATTGCAGATGTACCTCAAGGGCAGAGAGCAGAAGCAGTCAGCTGTGTTCTCTTGCTCTTGCCAGATGAGCACAGAGAGGCCTTGCGTGCTCTTCTGGAATTCCTCGCAGCAGTTACAACAAGGGCTGATGTTAATCAAATGTCGGCCAGCAACTTAGCCGTTTGTCTGGCACCCTCCTTACTCAGACTACATCACCACTCACCTACATCCTCATCTCCATCATCACCCGCTGGCCGGTCAACCTCAGCCAGTCCTCGCAGAAGAAACAAAAGCATTGGAGCTCCTGATCCAAGGGAATTGAGTGAAAATCGTGCTGCACATGACTGTGTTCTTCACCTTATCCGCTGTCATAGAGATCTTTTCTCTGTAGGTTCACCTTTTGAGGCACATATTTACTTATATATTAAAGATGCACACCTACACATGTACTTTATTCATTTTTTTATCAATTTTTTTTCAAGATAACCGAAGAAACTTTGGTGCAATGTCACTTCACGTATATGGAAGAGAGTGTGCCTGTGGCCCTTGAGGAGCTTGGTTCAGAGCTGAATCAAGATTGGAGAGGATACTTGTATGCATGTGTGAATGCTCTGCTTAGGGAAGCTCGGGATCGGTGAGTCGAAAGACAAATGCTACCCTGTTAAAGCAATCATGGTCTAAATTTTAATCATGATTTCTATTTCCATGTCTTTTTAGAAGCCGCGGTTGGGTAACTGTCAGTGGTGGGCCAGAGCCATCCGTTGATGTTGCATACCGCAAAGTGGGTGATGGGCATCCTTTAAGGTTGTGGCGTGTGTCAACTGAGGTGGAAGCACCTCCCGGCGAACTTCTCCAAAGAGTTTTACGGGAGCGTCATTCATGGGACCAGTCTCTCTTGAAGTGGCGAGTGGTGGCTCGACTCTCTGAACAGACTGAGGTGTTTCAGTATGTGTGTGCTGATATGCCACCCTTGCCAAACAGAGACTACTGTGTTGTAAGGTAAATATAGTTTTAAGTTTAAATTATTTTTATCATTGTTTTGCAACAGACAATTAATTACAAGTTACTTGTTTACTAGATCCTGGCGATCAGATTTACCCAAAGGAGCCTGTGTGGTTGTTGAGACATCAGTGGAACATTCAAATGCCCCTCTTCTTCCTGGTGGTGTGCGTGGAATTGTGCTAGCCAGCAGATATTTAATTGAGCCGTGTGGATCAGGAAAATCAAGAATCATGCATTTATCAAGAGTGGATACCAAGTAAGCGTCCACAATGTTATTATTCTATACTGTGATCTAGTTTCAATTATGTTGTGAACAGTTCTATGTATGGATCTTGCAAGGTATTTTTTGTAGATTGATTTTTATTCATTTTTTATTTTAGGGGGCGGACTCCAGAGTGGTACAACAAGAGTTATGGACATTTATGTGCCCAACATCTTGCAAGAATAAGGGCATCTTTTCGACACAATGCAGAAGGACCCGAAAGTAAGGTCTGACTGTTAGCCCCGGCCTTGCAGGCATCTTCTCAATCATGGGACCGCTTACAAGGCCACTCTCCCACTCAGTCACCTGCTCGCACTCTTACCCGCCTCCAGAGCCATTCCTCAAGTCGCTCTGATCTACTGCAGGTTGATGAAGAGAGTAGTGATGTTTCTGATTAAGACTCATCAGATAATTTTCACCATTTACAAAAGTTGAACTTGAACAGTTTCAGAAGCATTTTTTACGGAGTTGTTCTTCAAATATGGTGATTGTTAGAAAACCACTTCTAATTCTGTGATGTATTATTTCAAAACTTGTTCGTTAAAATTAAAAAAATATTTCAGTATGAGAAGTTTTGTCATCATGCAGTTAAAGCTTAGAGCTTAGGGCACTTAGGCTGCCCAAAATACATATGTACAAATTGTAGATATCATTAAGAAAAGATTGTTTTAATACTAATGATATGTGTACAAACCTTAACACCTGTTGTAGCTAAGAATGTACATCAACCAAATGATGTTATTAAAGTCACAATTGAATCCAAGTAGTACAGTTTAGATAAGTATAAGTCCACTTTACACTGTAATGATTTTCTTAAGGATCAGTTTCTGCTTTTCTCCATGTGATTTTAGCTTAATGTTTAAGTTTATAATTGTTGTGTATTTCTAAAGTTTATGAAATGTATTCATTGCGGATAAGTATGTGAATATGAGTGAAATTATGTTACATATGATGCAAGCTAGAAGTACTTACTATGTGGATGTTTAGTTTTAATTATAACTGATGAAGATGCCACTTCTTCCTTTTCTTAAGATGCAAAGGGTTTGTTAATATCAGATTTGTATATTGCCTTTACCAAAATCAGTTGTGAAGTTTTTAATGTGGAACCTGTCAAGTTTTTTGTGTGTTTTTTTTTCCATTTTTTTTTTCTTTCTTAAGTTGATGTATGAAATACCTATTTGTGTTTGGTGTGAATGGACTTCCTGTAGGAGAGGTATCTATCAGTAAGCTAGTCAGAAAGTGCAGTGTATGAATAAATGTTTTCTAATGGTTGGTTTGTTGTTTTCTTTTTAAGTAACTCAGGGATGTGAAGGTCAGAAATTGAATATTGAATGTGTGTGAGTGAGTTGAGTGGGACCATGTAAGGTTTAGACATAAAAGAATATTAACTTCCCTTTATAGAGGTGTGAATTAAATTTAACGTCGGATTCATGTCCAATTACCATATGGTTGAATGGGAGCCATGGTTTCATGTGTCATAGTTACAGCTCTTGTGTTCCGAGACCTCATCATTCCTTTCTGTTTGTAACCATAAAAACAAGAATATTAGTTTCAAAATCTCTGTATTTTCAAACAATGTCTTTATTTGAGATATGTTTTAAAGCCTGGAACCCAATGATCCTAAGTGTGAGCCTTCAGCTTATACATATCATTGCTCTTATATATATTTTTCTTAATTGCATTAAAGAACAATATTTTGTATCAAAGGAATTACAAGTTTATCATTTTCAACCTTCCTGTGACCACATCCTTAAAATTCTTAAGGAATGAAGAATAATAATTTTCAGATAAATTTATTCTGATTTGATTCCAATAAATATAGGTCTTTCAAATATTCAAAAGTGAAACAAAACATATAATAATTTTATTAAATTTACGGACGATATTTTCCCTCAAATAATAGCACAGCAAATCAGCTCTTCTTTTTTCTTCTTTTTTTTTTCGGAACAGTGCTTCCTTGTGCAGAACCTGTGTAGCAGGAGACCCCGATTTTCACTGTTTATTTTAGAGGTAATTAACATTAGAGGTAATCGACGATTTAAAGGTCTTTGTTGAGAGGTAGCGATGCCAACTCGTCGTGGCCCTCCTGACAACACGGTATGGAAGTGGACGCAAGGTGATTCATGGAAGTTGCTGTTTATTTGCCCTGAACCAACTCACCTAACTATGTGTAGGCGGGCTACCGAGCAAACGTTGACCGACGCGACTTGATTTTGAGATATGCTCGCCTAAAAGGATGTCGATTTTCCGCTGTGCCGGTTGTGGCGTGAACATTTGCGCTTCTTTCAGATGTGAGTTAAGTCTCGTGAAGCGTGGGTCAGGCTTGCGCGTCCAGTTAAAGGGGTGCTGACCGGCCTGACCAGCCCTAGCCGGCCTTCAGCAGAGGCACTGCTTTTGAAAGTGCTCAGATAAAGTGACAGTCACTTTTCTAGACACTTTCAAAGGCAGGGTCTCTGAGGGCTGGCTAGGGCTGGTTAGTCCTACCCAGTATAGGACTCTAGGGCTGGCGAGGGCCGGTCAGCACCCCTCCCTCGGGACGGCAGCAAGGTCTTTTTCCACACCTTTCGTAAAAATAAACCCTTGTGACCAACGTAGATGAGACTGGCAGGCTTAATTAGGCCTGCCTTTTTATTTATAATTTAGAAATTAACTACTAGATATATTTTTTAAATCTTTATAAACTTTGTTTGCTTACATCAATACTATTATTATTGAGTATAGGTCGAGAATGGGTCCATGGGGCACAAAGTTGCGCCAAGTGCTGGTGGTCGTGAGAATCCATGCGCAAATGAGCTCCCTGCACGGCGTGCGACACATTTTCAAGGAGGGTGTGTCCTACAAAGAGAGGTATGTGAAAACGAGAGAATGTCGTTGGGCCCAACCCTATTTCGCGCCCTATATCGTTTTGCTGAGGTATCCCATTTATATCCTAAAGTATTCCACACAGAAGTAACGCAAAAATTAATTTTGTGTTAAGGAATAACCTCGTTCTTTAAATTAAATTATCGCCCTTATTGCGGTGGGATCATCTAAAAGTTCATCCAATGTATATGGTAACATAGCGCCTGATATATAGGCAACATCTTGCCTGCAGTGCTTGCGTGTACTGAGGGATGGCCTACCTTGAGTCTCGCAGGCGCTGAGCTCCGCTGAGCTCTCGTGATTTGCCGAACGATCAAATGAATCTTAGATCATCAAAGATAAAATAAGATGGGGGATTACGCCCATCACATCGCAGGGTGAGCGGACTTTTGTCTTTTGTCTAGAGATGGTTCGGGTGAAGCTGCACGTGGCCGTGTCGATTGTAGCTACAACTGTGTAGCTACAAAAAGGGACGTTGGCCCTTGGCTCACTATCCTCACCTGGCGCAATATATACTTGGTTCCACTAACTAGCGCTGTCCTTAACGATATTAAAGTCTACCGACGCCTTACACTACGTATGTATACTTATGTTTAGCCTTAGTCTGAAGACACAAAGTCGTACCGCAGGCTGTTCTGGCTGGTGCTCGTACTGTGCTGCGGCGGGGAGCTCATCAGCATCTGCGTTCGCCAGTGGTCTGACTACCGACGGGCTCCTACAGAGACGGTTCTGACTGACAGCGCCATCAGCATCAGTGGCCAACCCTTCCCTTGCGTGGGCCTGTGCCCCGCGCACCAGATGGACGGGAGGGTCGCCATGCGCCTGCTGCGGCAGTGAGTCCGAGTTGTTGGCCACCACCACCACCGTCCGGGGAATGCCAGGACGGCGGCGGTGGATGACACTTTTCCTCATTTTTCAAGTATTGGCTTGTAAGACAACGAGCTTGGTCCGGGGAGAGCAAGTTCGTTTGTCCGACCAGTTTTAGTCCGACCTCGGAAAAATGACGGTTCCCCGAAAATAGTACATTTGTAGTACAACAGTACATATATATTCAACATGAGCTGAGAGTGCATTTCCACGGTCGTAGGCGAAGTGAAGAATGCGCGTCTCCCTACAACCCGTTTCCGAAATCAGCAAAATGTAACCCTTGTCCTGGGTCTGCATGTCGCGCCCATCGGCTGCGTCGCACTAGCTGCGCAGCGACTGCATCGCGTGCATGCCGAGGAGCGAAGGGCCCTCGCGTGCAACATCCACCTGACGCGTTGAGAACTGTGCGTCTGCTCGGTGTCGTTCACACGTCATTGGCGCGTCTGTTCTGTAGGGCCTCTGACGAGGCGAACGCGTCCTTCTTTGGCGACACCCAAATCGCGGACGCAGACGAGGGGGCGGCTGGCCCCGCCCCACTCGTAACTGACAAAGACCGGGGAGCCATCATCCTCGCACTGCACAGGCTCGTCAGTACGGGAGCCACAACCGCCGCTCCGCTCTTCCAGGAGCAACTCAATACCCTCAGGCATCTCGATGACCACGTCAACGTGGTGGACTTCATGAAGCGGGTGACGAAATATCACGATAAATTTATTTTTCAAGACACTAGACTTTATCCTAGGCGACGTTTCCAAGGAGAGGTGACGCGAGGTAACGTTTTGGCCGACTTTAAGGCTGCGCTGCACGAGCCATGAAAAAGCAAGTGCACAGGCCTGAAGCCGTGTTGACGATGGCGCCTGCAACGCGCTGGGTAGGCCAACCCGCTCAGCAGCTGTGCGGAGCCAGCGGCCCGCCCTGACCTGCCTTGCCCTGCGCGGAGGCCGAGTCGGAGCGGCCCGGGCTGGGAAAGGCGCCGAACGTTGCCTCCCGTCTTCTGGCCGGGATAGAGTCACCTCGGATTTCGGATAACTTTAGTTGTGGAGGCACCTTTAGTGATATAACACTAAAATACCCGCGACCAAGAAGTAAGATCAGTCTAATGTGCGAGCGGCGTAAAATGATTTTTCTCAATAATTTCTCAAATTAATGTTACGGCAGGTATTCCCAACTTGTGACCATTTCTTCCACTCGTGCATGTGGCGAGGAATGCCCTTCGATTGCTGCAAGCACTTTTCCATCCGAGCGACTGAGCTTGGATACTGTTACTTCTTTCGGGCAGAGGAAGCCGACAAGATGGTTTGGTTAGTTTCGGGGCATTGGCCAGTGAAATATCGAAATAAGTGAGGTTAAGGGTCTCGTTAGTTGTACTGTACTCCCCCCCCCCCCTCTCTCTCCCGTACCGCCTCCTTCTGCCAACCCTCAACGATTTGGTCCCCGATTGCCTAACATGCGCACTTGAAGAAACTCTGGGACAAATTTTAAGTAACAAAGTGGCATTGGTGGAATTTGTCGTTTTAAGTGGGACACGCCACTTGAAATGACCAAATCCACTTCAAATGCCACTTTGCCATTTCAAATTTTTCCCAAAGTCAAGTTTGCGTCAAGTGAAATAAATAAAATAAAAATATAGCTAATACTTATCTAACATGGGCAGTGCTGAGGCCTTCCCCGACCACGAGGATCAGAAGGCGCTGTGCCTGGCCTTGCAGGGCCTCACCAGCTTTGGGCCTAACTCGGGACTACGAGTCTACCTTCACACAAATGTGGACCCATCCACTGTCGTGGACGACAAACTCAGCGGACAATCGACAAAGGTATGTCACGTAGCTGAAAGGAGATCCAATGAAAACGACTAATTTTAAGTGGAAAGGGCATGTCTTTGTCTTGTTCTGTTAGGTTGGGTTAGATTGAAGCATGCTTTTAGATAACCATCTCGAGTTCCTGCTTGGCGACAAGTATGAACGTGGAGGGAAGAACACTGGCGATGCCAGCCGGCAAGTATTCGCTGATTCTCAAGGAGGTTCGAACCGAATTCAGCAGCGACTTGGTAAGCCTGCCCTCCGAGGAACGAGGCTGCTACTTCGAAGACGAGTGGCCCGGGTCCACGCCCCAGAACCGCAAGAACTTCCCCGAGCGCTACAGCGGGCTCGAATGCATCGTCATGTGCAAGCGCCAGTTCGTCCTCGAAACCTGCAAGTGCCTACCCTATCCGCTCACCCTCAGCGGTAAGAGCTGGCGCCGCGGAAAAGTGTGTGCCGTTGATGGAGCTACGCTTGAAGCGCCAATGCACTTAAATGTGCATTTAATTCTACAGAGCGCAGAAACATGCACATAAAAGGTAACGCGTTTTAGACGTCTTTAATGTCCACCATAACGCACATAAAATGCGTGACAAATTTGTTACCTTTCATGTGCATTTTAAAGCGCATTATTGAATCGACGCTAGCGTAGGGACAGAGGACATCCCCCAACTCCACTGAAAACTCAACAGTGTGTAACAATGCACACTGTAGTTACAGTGTGCTAGGCATGCACACTGCATAGTGTGCATGCATGGCATGCACACAATTGATCTGAAAACTGAACAGTTGGCACTTCTTCCTTTCAGACGCATAACTTTGGAAATTAGATCACATTTTCAGTTTCCGCGGGAGAAGAGCTTTCAAACGAGCTACGTTGTGATACAGTTCAAAGCGACCACCACCATAACTTGGTTAACGTTACCGAAATATTTGAAAGAATTTCGGCAGTGGTCAATTTGAACCCTATCACATGGTAGCTAGTTTTGAAGCTTTTTAAACGGACCCGTTTCTGCCAGACAGTTGGCGGGAGGGGGGAGGGCGTCATGTTTCAACACCACCTGTTGAGCAGCTCCACACCCACGCCCGGGCGCCCGGGTACTAGAGAAACAATAGACACCTTGCTCTGTGAGTAGTCAGCCCCCCCCCCTCCCCCACGCGCTGCCCAGCGCTCATGCCAAAAATTGTGTTCAATTATAAAAGTAATGATTAATAGGCTAATTCAAAAAAATATGACGCAAAACGACACATCAAGAACAAGAACAACGCAGCGAGCAGGCATGAAATGTCTACATGGCGTCCAAAAGCAGATTGTACGAGTGAGAGGCGCTATGACGCGGCGCAAACTTCTATATTCAAAAACTATTGCACAAAACCATAAAATAGACAATTTTTTTTAACCACGGGTACGTTTATGGTTAACAAGAATTGTTTTTTTACGAAAAGAGGGAGATGTCTCTTATTCCAAAGTTACACGTCTTAAAGTAAATCGTGACACACCCACACAATCCATGGAGGTAATCCTGTGTTTCTTTTTTTAAATTTTTCTTTGCAGACCCAAACACAGTTTGTCTTTTGTCCAAGACGCCAGAATGCATAACCAACACATCAGGTACAACCTCCCAGTCATCTTAAAAAGCTGAGAACCAATAAAGAATAATAAACCAGCCAAACGTTCACTCAGAGAGTGTCCATTTGTTTAGAATGGATCTCGTTCATCCGCCCGGCACCCGCCGTGCCAGGCTTCAGGCAAGAGGAGTACTCTCACGGGGTGATGTGCCCGTTATGTCTACCGAAGTGCGCCTCGTCGCGTTTCGTCGTGGATCCCCGGATGCCAACGACAGGGGAGACCACGAGGCCGAAAGCGGGCGAAATGGCACAGCTCGCCCAGCGGACCATGCTGGACGTGTACTTCCCGGGGCCCAACGCCGCCGTGCTCTACACCGTCATGCGCACCTTCTCGGTGGCCAACCTCCTTGGTAGGTCCAAGAAGGCATACCGTACGTTCAGGATTTTGCTGTCACTAGTTTGGATCGATGGCAAAGGGATCATCAAGAAAGTACGTCCGTCGTTACGAAACGGTCAGGTTTCGGCCGATGCTAGCTCTCATAGCGCCTGATGGGTAGGCAACATCTCGCCTACAGTAAATGCTTGAACTGCGGGGTGGCCTACACCGAGTCGCGCAGGCGCCGAGCTCCCGTAATTTGCCGTGTCGAACAAGTATGAAAAAACGGACGTACTTTCTGCACGATCCCTTCGACGTGGATAGCTAGGCTGTGTTGCTGGGGACGGCTCATCCCTCTAGCTCTCTTCATCGCGCATCGTTGAAGCAGAGCCAAGGTGTGCCGAGTCCAGAAACAAAGCCCAATAGTCATCATCAAGACGGCATCACGATTTTTGCAAACAAATGGCGCAAAAAATCCGTCCTTAAACCCTATATAGTCTATGCCCACCCCAGGCTGAGAATTAAGTGAAGTGTTTCGATTGAACTGACCCCTCCTTCTCCAGTGACGTTCGGCGGCCTGGCCAACCTCTTCCTCGGCATGAGCTACATCACCCTGCTGGAGCTCGTGATACTGGTCGCCAAGTGTATGTGGATCTTGTTCGTCCGACAGTGGTGTGTGCGGCGCGCTGGGCGCCAACCTGCCATTCCCTCGCCATGAAGCCCCCGCGAGTCAGGTCACAGGAAGCTGTCTCCCTAACACAAAGGCAGTCTGACAAGTAACTATCGTAAACTAAGGAAAATTCAAAGAAAAAAATTAAGGGCAAATGTGTCTTATTCTGCACATGTCACGCACACTTTGTCTATAAGTAGTAGTACAATACGGTACGAAAAGTCAATAGAAAAATACAACTCACATTCTTTTACAAGAAACACAAAAAATAAGAAATTTAGCAGCCTTGGCTAGTTGTCCATCCTGCTTGAGATTGTTGCCATCCGCTTGATAGCTACAGCGCCGCAGCTCCAGCTACCCTCCAATCCGGGTGGAGGGGAACGAGTTCTGCACAGGATCAGTTTGCACAGGGGAATAAGCAGGAGGGCTGCAATGTAACAAAAATAGTAGTTTAGACCAAATTGTGAGCGATTTCTCCCAAATGTGTTTCATGAGATGTCATTGACTGTGAATATATAAATATAAAATAAAGTAAGAAATTCAGCATCACCTCATGAGCTTGGATGCATCACCAGCCCAGTCGTGTCTGGGCATAGCAGGAGGGGCCTGTCCTGTGACTCTGACTGAAACGCCACTCACCATCTGTAAGCAAAACAACAGGGCTTAGTTGACTTCAATTTGCTCCCACGACCACAGTTGAATTAAATATCGAAAAATAGTTATGATATCGATTTTATGCGTTGGCTACATTACTGGCACAAACAACAAGAGGCTGTTTTCTTACCCGGTAGAGCGGCAAAGTACTGACAATAACTCCATCAGACTTATCAGAGGACAGGCAGGCCGCTATGAATGTAAGTACATCAAAGACTGCAACACAGAGAATACAAAATTATTGAAGATTAATTGTTTCATTTTTACGCCGTATTGAAGCGTAGCCTGTTGTGTTAGCACCGAGGGGGAAATCACTATTTCGTGCTATTTCTCGCGTCTATTTCGCCTTCATTTCGGACTATTTGGGGGGAAGGTGTACGAACAATTTCGCAAGTGGTTTCCCCTTCGATTAGCACAAACCAAATCACTAAAGAATCTCCCTAATTGACGTAGAATGTCTGTAATCTAGTAATACACCACACTGTGTCTGAACTTTGAACACTTAAAGTTACATTAATTAGTGAGCAAAGTTTAACATTTGTTTTTCCCGTGTTGGGATGAAGCACCCGTTGCGAGAACACCAACTTAAACAAGTGGCAGGAAAGTTTCCGCCCTAAATAGAACTCTCTGTACAACTACGAAATATTCAAAAGGTCAGGGGTCTAGGCACGTATTACGGGGGTGTGGTCCACGAGATAGCCGCCTGAAGGTAGGCAATTTGACCTACAAAACCCCTTTCGATACACCGCTCGAGGGGGAAATCACTTGCGAAAGTTCGTACATCTTTCCCCGAAATAGTCCGAAATAAAGGCGAAATAGACCCAAAATAGACGCGATATAGTCGGTGACAGTCGCGAAATACCCCTGAAATACTCCGAAATACCGCGAAATACCCTGAAATAATCCGAAATAGGCGAGAAATAACCGAAATGGCAGGAGAAAAACCACGAAATAGCCTATACGCTACGGACCCACGTGATTTCCCCCTCGACACCGCCCCCTCTCCCCCCCCTCAATACGCCCCTTCCGTGGGCCACCCGTATACTGCCCATTCATGAAATTCTGGACCGAAAAATGTGCTTACCTAAGCTGACAGGGAAGAGCTCAGGCTGAGCCATAAACTCATAGACAGGATTAGGCTCATCCCCGACGACCTTTTGGAAACGGCTGATATACTTGGCAATGTTGCTGATCCCTCTAATGTACACCATGTACACAACGGCAAACATGAAAAACATGTGAAGCATGGCGTAGAGCGTGAGACGCGACTTGTGCTGCAATAAAAAGACAAAACACAGATGCAAAAGGCTGACGGCTATCGTCAAACGGAAACTGGATTCGAAAGGATTTACTACTCACCGCTTTCCTCCAAGGGAAAAGGCATGTAAGAATGAAAAGCCAAACCCCCAGGAAAATGTAAAATGCCAATGGGATCGTACACTGATCTGTAATAATATTCCGATAAAATTAACAACTCTTTTAAAGGCAGAATTTTAAGAGTAAAACATTGTGTTCTAAAACGGCTCTCAACAAGAAAAGTACCTTTGATCGATTCGTTCAAATCGAAACCTGTCGTTAAGGAAACCCCTTTGTTTACGATCCTTTCAAAAGGGTCGTTGGTAATTTTCAAGATGTCATTCAGATCCTTTGCGGCCACAACCGCAACAAACAGATGCACCACCTATAATAAAATCAAAATACACACAGTATCAATCACGACGCACCGCTTCATCCCATAAGCAAACAATCTATCAGGTGCGGTTTCAAGTCTGCCTGACGGGTGGGGCATGCCGCGTGGGTTGGTTTGTAGTACCGGATATAATCAGAGCGAACGCAGCAATATTACGGGTTTGACTACTCCCTCACTGGAAAAACATAGGTGCTACATAGCACCCTTAATAGGGTGCTATTTAATTTTTAAGGTGCTACTGCACTAATGCCATTGTAGAGGCACGATTTATGACAAAAATAGCACCTTTGAGGGGCGGTAGCACCATTCTAGAGGCAATATTTCACTAACGCCTTTAAAAGGCATTACATAGCACCTTTGTTTTTCCAGTGCTCCACCCGTAAGGTGCTTTGCCATGGCACCCTGAAGGGTGACCACACACCCACAAGTCCCTTATACAGTCGATTCTACACTCACCGTCCTCAGGACGAGGGTCAGCCCGAAGAAAATTCTGCAGATGCACATCTCCTGCAACAAAAAGTACATAGTGAGAAAAACGAAAGAACACACCAAACCCTCTCTGAGGAGAGGTAAGAAGAGACCAATAGGAAGTCCTCCGCTGCCTAAATTTTTTAGTGGTGCGATCCAGTACCAATTTATTTCAAGTTATTGCACACCTACGGACGGAGAGAGAGAGGGGGGGG